AAGTTCGGAATTATTATTGCACGGGCGCGGGCCATAGGCCAGTGAAATGCCGCGACTGCGACACGAATCACAAGCGATCTCGGGTGTTCAGGCGCCCCGCGCGCCCGACAGAAGCAGATGGGAGAGGCCGAGAGTTCGCGGGCAGGACGCATCTGACTGATTTGCAAGTGAAGCACTTCTTCGCGAAGGGCGCGAGCCATCGCCCAGTCATGCGCCGCACGTGCCAGGAGGAACGCAATCGGCCGCGAGTGCTCACGTGCTCGGCGCGCCCGAAAGAAGCAGATGGGAAAGAGCGAGAATTCACGGACAGGACGCATCTGACATATTGGCAAGTGCAGAACTTTTTCAAGAAGGGCTCCGCCCATCGCTCGGTGGCGTGCCGAGCGTGCCACGAGCAAAGACAGGTAGCAAAGAAGTTGGACTGCTCCGCATGCCCCCGAAAAACGGACGGATCCAAACCTACGTTCACGGACGCCAGCCATCTGTCGAAAGACCAGAAGAAGAATTATTTCCTCCGAGACAATCCTGTGGCGCGCGCCGCGCGCCATACGGCGGAACGGGCCCCTCCGAGAGAACCGCCGAAACGCCCAGCGGAGGCGATCGACGAGCACGGCGGGAAACAACGCAAGTTGCAGGGAATCTGACCGCGAGTCGCGCGCGCGCCGTCTTCGGGGATCTCAGGTGCCGTCGTCAGCCCCTCGCGTCTTGTCTGAACGCCTTCTTGGGCTGTTGAGAAGGCACTCGTGGAGGATTCTTGAACGTCTTGGAGCGTTCTGCGGGGGCTCGGAGCCCTCTTGGAACGCATCTCGGAAGCCCTCGGGGGGGCTCGCGGGGACCTCTTCTGCCGTCGAGGACGCGTCCGAGCATGTTTTTGCGGCCACCTGGAGCCCATGTGGAGCTTGGAGACCTCTCGGAGCGCTCCTGGAGCGCTTTTGGAACCGTTTTCGGAGCCCTCTGAGGCCGTCGTGGACGCCTCTGAGCCCGTCTTGGGGCCCTCCAGGGATGTGTGGGACACCCTCTGGGAAGCTTCTGGGACCGTCTGGGACTGGGTTGGGGGGCCTCGTGGGCCGTCGGGTGCATCGACGAGGCCCTGAATTTATGAAAAATGTGAGTTTCACAAAAGGAATGGGACAATTTTTCTATGTCGGAACCGCTGGAAACGCATCTCGGAGGCCCGGGGGGGGGCTCGTGGGGACGTATTCTGCCATCCAGGACGCCTCGTGGCCCGTTTTTGGGCCAGCTCGGGCGTCTTGGAGCGCTCGTTGGGCGTCACAAACTCATTGCGAGGCCACCAGACGAGTCCTTACACGATGTTCCAAGGTTTTGCGAGACCACCAAACGAGTCCCTACACGATTGTCCAAGGTTTTGCATGATTGTTCCGAGGTTGTGCACGATTTTCGGGGAGCTCCTGGAGCGCTCTTGGAACCGTTTTCGGAGCCCTCTGAGGCCGTCACGGACGCCTCTGAGCCCGTCTTGGGGCCCTGCGGGGATATGTGGGAGACCCTCTGGGAAGCTTCTGGGACCGTCTGGGACTGGGTTGGGGGGCCTCGTGGGCCGTCGGATGCATCGGAAAGGCCCCAAGCTGAATTTATGTTTCACAAAGGGAATGAGCCACTTTTTCCGTATCGGAAGCCTCTGGAAACGCATCTCGGAGGCCCTGGGGGGGTGCTTATGGGGACGTCTTCTGCCATCCAGGACGCCTCGTGGCCCGTCTTTGGGCCAACTTGGGCGTCTTGGAGCGCTCGTTGGGCGTCCCAAACCCACTGCGAGGACACCAAACGAGTCCCCAGACGATTTTCCAAGGTTTTGCACGATTTTTCCGAGGTTTTGCACGATTTTCGGGGAGCTCCTGGAGCGCTCTTGGAACCGTTTTCGGAGCCCTCTGAGGCCGTCGTCGACGCCTCTGAGCCCGTCTTGGGGCCCTCCAGGGATGTGTGGGACACCCTCTGGGAAGCTTCTGGGACCGTCTGGGACTGGGTTGGGGGGCCTCGTGGGCCGTCGGATGCATCGGAAAGGCCCGAAGCTGAATTTATGAAAAATGTGCGTTACACGAGGGGAATGAGCCAATTTTTCCGTCTCGGAACCTTGTGGACACGCATCTCAGAGGCCCTGGGGGGGGCTTATGGGGACGTCTTCTGCCATCCAGGACGCCTCCTGGCCCGTCTTTGGGCCAACTGGGGCGTCTTGGAGCGCTCGTTGGGCGTCCCCAACCAATTGCGAGGCAAACGAGTCCCTACACGATTTTCCAAGGTTTTGCACGATTTTTCCGAGGTTGTGCACGATTTTCGGGGAGCTCCTGGAGCGTTCTTGGAACCGTTTTCGGAGCCCTCTGAGGCCGTCATGGACGCCTCTGAGCCCGTCTTGGGGCCCTGCAGGGATATGTGGGAGACCCTCTGGGAAGCTTCTGGGACCGTCCGGGACTGGGTTGGGGGGCCTCGTGGGCCGTCGGATGCATCGGAAAGGCCCAAAGCTGAATGTATGAAAAATGTGCGTTTCACAAAAGGAATGGGACAATTTTTCCGTCTCGGAACCCTGTGGACACGCATCTCGGAGGCCCTGGAGGGGGCTCGTGGGACCGTCTTCTGCCATCCAGGACGCCTCGTGGCCCGTCTTTGGGCCAACTTGGGCGTCTTGGAGCGCTCGTTGGGCGTCCCAAACCCATTGCGAGGCCACCAAACGAGTCCCTAGACGATTTTCCAAGGTTTTGCGCGATTTTTCCGCGATTTTTCCGAGGTTTTGCACGATTTTCGGGACGGGTGACCCCTCTGACCCATCCGGCACTTTTGAGTACCCCCCCCCCCCCTCCAAATCGACTGGACCGGACCCCCTTGGGAGGGGTTTGGGGAGGGGGAACATCTCACACGCCGATGAACCCCAAGGGGTCGGCGGATTAATCCCCAATCAGAGCTTGCCTCTGTAGGGGTCCTAGCGGATTCATATGGTTAGGTTAGGTGCACCGATTTTCGCCGCACGCCCAGGTGCCCGGGGGTGCCCAGGTGCCCGGGTGCCCGGGTGCCTGGGCGTGCCTGGGGGTGCCCGGGGGTGCCCTATAGCTCTATAGCCTATCGCCATATAGCCCTACAGCCCTATAGCCCTATAGCCCTATACTCCTATAGCTCAATAGCCCTATAGCCGTATATCCCTATAGCTCTATAGCCCTATACCCCTACACCACTAGAGGCCTAGAGCCCTGTAGTTCGATTACCCTATAGTCAAATAGCCCTATAGCCCATATAGCCCTACAGCCCTAAAAATATTATGATTGGGTTTTCTTTTATCTGGTTTCATGTGATGGTACGGCTTATGTTGTTGTGAAGTTATTCAAGTTTGTGTTTCTCTTCTGTTGAAGCATGCTCTGTTATGCTCGCCTGTGTTATTGTATGACGTGCTATGAATTGATATGGTCTGCTGGGTGGCACCACGTTATGACATGATACGTATGTGGTTTGTCAGGCTAGGTTATGTTGTGATATTATGTGTGATGCTGTTTATGGTATGCTCAGTTCGTTACATGATGGTATGACATGCTCTGGCATGACATACATGTTCCATGAAGCTATCGCCAATCATATTATCTCTAAATCGTTGACGTAGGGGCAGCAGTAGTACGACAACTCTGCGATGATTTGCTGGTTACGGTGTGCTCTGAGATGTGCTGCTTGCTGTTGACACGATATGATCTGCTATATGATTGTTTTGCTCGGCGGCGCCGTGTTATCGCATGATATGGTATGTATGGTTATGGTGTGTGATGTTATATGTGTGATGTTGCGTGCGTTAAGTAGTGTTATGTTAAGTATGTTATGCTATGACTTGTCCTCCCAATACATACCTCTGTAGTAGACTTAGTTCTATGATGTTGCAGTAAAATCGTTGCAGCCGTTGCGCTGTTATTTTAAAGTATGTTCGTTGTTGCGTTATGCCATGCTATGTTCCGTCATGGCACGCTATGGTATGTGTTATAATGTTGTGGTAGTATGTGTTATGCCATAACATGTGTTACCGCGCGCGTGTCATGGTATGGAATGGTATGGTATGTCATCCGTGGTATGTTGTGCTATGCTATGGCATAGTATGCTATGGTAGTATGTGTTCGGGTATGCCCGTTTATGCTATGCTGTGTTGTAGCATGCTATGGTATGCCACGATCAGCTATGTCATGGTATGATGGGTCGTCTTATGCTCCGTCATGTATGATTGGGTGTGTCCTAACATGCGTTGGTGAGCTGTGGTGTACCATGCTATGTCCCAACATGGTGTGTTATGCTATAGTATGTTGTGCTGCTGTGCTGTGTTGTGCTCGGGTATGTAAGAACATGTTATGCTGCGCTCTGGCAGTGCATGCGCTGTCATGGTACGATACGTTATGATGCTTCATAGTGTGATATTGTGTATGGTATGCTATGTTGCGTATGCTCCGCTCTGTCAGTACATGCGGTGTCATGTTATGTTATGGTATGATGTGTGACGGTACGCGGCGTTCTGCATGATCCGCTCTGTCGCAGCATGTGGTGCTATGCTTTAGTATTGCTATAGTAAGCTGTGTCATGTGACGGTCATGTCATTATATGTGATGAAATGATATCATGTTCTGTTATGTTCAGTTATGTTAGGCTCTGTCGTGTTAGTCGTCGGCGCGAGGCGGGCGTCTCGGGGGAGTATCGGTGGACGTGGGGATCTGGCGGCCGCGGTATGCAGAAGAATGGCCGGGTCAGCGCGAGGCGGGCGTTTCGAGGGAGTCTAGGTAGATATGGGGATTTGGCGACCGCGGTATGCAGAGTGGTCGGGCCGGGAGGTCTGTTCTTAAATCTAACGACGCCAACATGTCAGGTGAGTGACAAGAACAATAAGTAATTGTTCTCACCATTGGGGGCTTCGGGGCCCATCGCGTGGCTCCAGCACGCCAGACTGCGTTACGCCCGCCAGGTTTCCCCAAGCCGCCGCCAGCTCCAGCCAGCAGAGCGTGGCACGCGTTGTTCCCCCCCCTCTCCTTCCCCATAGCGGTTTTGGCCCAAGGGGGTGGTTGGGGGCCAGGCCCCGCGCGCCGCCTCCACGCGCGCCAGCCAGAGGCCGCCCAGGGCCGCGGAGGCATGGCGCAGGGCGTACGGAAGCGGATGCGGCGCACGGCGCGTGCCCGCAAGCGGCAGAGGCAGGAGACCCAAGCAGCCGTGGCGCCCTCCAGCGTGACTGCAGCCTCCGCTGAGGCCAGGGCGGCTGGGGCCGACTCGGCGAGCGAGGCCGAGGAGAGTGAGGAGGAGGAGGAGGAGGAGCTACAGCTCGCGCTCGACGACGATGGCCGCATCGGTGTCCACGGCCCCTCGCCGCAGTACGCCTTCAGGGCCTTCCCGCGGCTGCTGGCTCCCAGCGCGGCGGAGCTGGAGGGGCTCCGCCGCGATTGCCGCACGGCGTTCACCGCGAGAGCGACGGCGCAGGGCCAAAAGTATTCAAGCGGCGACACGTTCTGGGTGCCGGCTGGCGCGCGGCCGGCCACAGTGTTGGAGCAGTTGGCCTTAGACATCTTCCGCTTGCACACGGCAGGCTGCGACGAGGGCGATCTCAACGGTAGCGGCGCGGAGTGGTGGACGCAGGTCATCGACGCGGGCGACGACATTGGGTGGCATTACGATAGGGATTATGCTTTGGAGGCCGACGCGGGTGTCAGCATCCACCCGCACCTGGCCACGGTGACGTATTTGTCGGAGCCTGGGGCCCCGACGGTGATCGTCGAGCACACCGACCTGGGAGGCTCCGCGGCCAGCCGGAGCTCGGACGGACCCCGGGCTGCCCACCTGAGCCTGCCCACCGTTGGCAACCACGTAGCGTTCGACGGGCGCTGGCTGCACGGCGCGCCCGCCGAGCTGGCGGCCTTGCGGCCCCCGGGCGGCAGCGGCGCGGGGCCCTGCGGCACGCGCTACACGTTCCTGGTGAACGTGTGGCTGAACCACAAGCCCGTCACCGCGAGGGTCTTTCGGCCAGGCGGCGGGGCTGCGCTCGCGCGCGGTCCCGGGATCGCGCTGGGCGCGGCGGCCAGCAGCGGGGCGGTGGCCAAGCTGCGGTGCACGGCGGGGGACGCGGAGGAGCATTCGTGGGTGTTCCCGCCGGCCGAGGAGGAGGAGGCCGAGGAGGAGACGCCGCGGGAGAAGGACGAGGAGGTGGACGCTGGCGGGGGTGGCGGCGCGGCCAGCAGCGCGGAGGCGCCCCTGCGGTCGGGGCAGCAGCGGCTGTGGCTGACGCTGCCGTGCAAGGCCCTGCGCCGGGCGCTGGCTGGATCGGCGGCGGGCGCGTGCTCTTCCTTCACCGTGGAGCTGGGCGCGGGCCAGGCGGCCGTGGAGTAGCCCTTCTCCTTCCCCTCCCTCCCTCCTCTGGCATCCCCCCTTGGACATCCGACGTCGTGGAAAGCCACGACGTGCAAAAGTCGACGCCTGCTCCCTCAACCCCACCTCTGCGCAGGATCCCTCGGAGCTGGATCGATCCGTCTAGGTCTTGTGGCCTGAGACGGGGCAGAGGGGCCGTAGTGTTTTTTGTTGTGTGAGGACGGCCCCTGGCGGAATTTTTCCTGGGACGATTCTGGCGTTCCCCGCAATTTTCTTGACGAGGCGCAGTTGCTGAAAAAAATGAGGCACGAAGACCTGCAAGAGCAGGTAGTTTATCAGCAGAGACGGTGGAACGGAAAGGCCCATCATGTCTTTTCTCGACGACTGGATGTGAGGGCATCCCTCGGTGGCACGCAGGAGGGGCAGGGCGTGGAGATCGGCCTTCTGAGAGGGCACTCCGCCTCCCAGAAGGCCTCCAGGTACTTTCGAGTGGACCCCGTCGGCGACGGCGAGGAGGTCGCATTTGGCAAGGGCCTCGTTTGCCAGCCCTGCACGCGCTAGACGGGCGGCGGCGGCCCGCACGCGGACTCGAGAAGTAGTACGGCCCGTCGGTTGGACGGTGTGAAGCTTGGGGTGCGCCCGCGTCGTCGGTTGCAGAGCGGCCCCTCGGGCATGACCAAGACGTCCCAAAGCATTCCCGCTGCGCCATGGCGCTGGGCGCTGGGCCGGGGAGGCCGCGGAGTAGCCAGGCGGCTCGGCCGTGCGCGCGCGCCTCGATCCTGGCGCCACAATTCCGCGTGGCAGATGGGGGCGGGAGGGAAAGACGGACTGTGGGGCCCGCGTGACGACATGAGACAATTGCACCCTGGCCACTCTCGCACCTTCTAGAGGTGGGGAAACTCAGATTTTGCTTTTCCGCCATTTCTGGTTATGATGACAAGTATGATGGTGATGATGATGATGAGGAGGAGGAGGACGACGACGACGACAACGACAACGAGTAGGAGGAAGAGGGTTGAGGACGATGACGAGGAAGAGGAGGTGTACGATGGCGGTGATGATGACGACGAAGACGTCGATGATAATGCTGAGAGGCAGACGAAGTCGTGCGGCACGGCCAGAAAATACGTCGGCAAGGCATGTCGGCATTTGCGAGCCTGGTATCGGGCATGGAACTGTGGGATGGTACCAAGATTTGATTGACAGACAGGGCATGTCGTAGCCTGCGTTGGGATTGCGATGGCAGTGCGCCTTCATCTAATGGGTGGCCACTGCTCTCTTGCTGTCAAGTTGTTTGGCACATGCCGGTCATGGAGTTGTAGAAGACTCCTCGGTGTCAGCGTGCCGATCTTTGCGTAGAATTCTGGCGGAACGGTTCCACCTCGAGCCGTTGGCGGCGGCGATGAACATTGTCCATGCGACCGATCTTCGAATCGAGTTTGGGCCACGTAGCCCAGCTATGTCGCATTGTGTTGGTTGCGGCGCCAGCCTGGAATTGATTGGAGATAACTTGGAACCATTTTAGAGCACGAAGAGAGAGGTCGAGTGGGGTTGCAGTGCAGGGAAGTGTGTGCGATGACGATGATGATGTTCATGTTGATGTTGACGATGGAGGAAGAGCTTGCAGTGCGATGATTTTGACCCTGCTTATGATGACAACCACTGGAGGACGATCGGCAGCAGTGTGGAAGTATGGAGGAGAAAGAAGTTGAGGGGTTAGGAGGGAGGAGGCTGAGTCAGGATCGATGCACAAGGAGGGATGATGGTTGAGGGATGGAGGATGGAGGAGGGAGAAAAGGGGATAGGGGCGGAGGGACGGTGGAGGAGGCAACATGGAAGGCGGCGCGGCGGCGAAGCGGTAACGGGCCGAGTCGAAGGATCCCCGACTGAACAGCAATCGAACACGAATTTCGAATTGTGTGACCTACCGTGCGCAGTATATACCACGTGTGAAGGCCCCCCGCAGCGGGAGCCCCGACTGATTAATCGCTCTACCAAGACTGACAGCGGAGAAACTTACGGCCAGGGTCCCAGGAGAGCCGACGGGCCCCAACAAGGGCCCGAGAAAAAAAACAAACTACCTGGGGGGACCCGCGGCCATTTTCACCAGCTCCTTGAAACTGGATTGCTTCTGTTGCACACGCGGAGGCGGAGGGGGAGGGCGAAGAGGGTCAAGCGGGTCAAGGGTGGCGGCAGCGGGAGACGGTGCCTGGAACATCGCCTTCCCCTCAGAACGTGCCCCTGGAGCTGGTGTTGCTGTCCGTGTGTGGAGCATGCCCGCTCCAGGGGCATCAACCACATTCAACCGCGACATCGACGCCGATGTTTGAAGAGACCCACCCACACTCGAACGCGAAATCGTCTCCGACGTCTGAAACAACTGAACCCCACCATTGGTCGACGCCACTCGGGGACGGGAACCTGTCGCCCCTGCCAAGCCGCTCGCTCCAAATCAACCCCAGTGCTGCAGCGAGAATTCCCAACCACATTCATCTGCCGTTGCCGAGGGAGGGACGAGCACGTGCGGGTCGGCATGTCGAGCTGTGGCGACGAACCCAGACGGCCAGTTCTGGTGTATTCCTCACTTGGAGGAGCCGAGGGGGCCAGGTCTCGGGCTTGCGTTCTAACGCTCTGGCAAAGCTGTGGCGACGACACACCCAGGAGGTCAGCCCTGGGATATTCCCCCCTTGGGGGAGCCGAGGGGGGGCCAATCCTCGGACTTGCGTTCTAACGTCCTTTACTGGCTGTTTTCCCACTCGTCGATCGCCATCTACAAAATCCTCTCCACATTCGACCTCGGCGCCACTCCTGCTTTGACTTCGCCTCCGAGCTGGATCACGCATTCGGTGAAGACCTTGGTGAGCTCCACGTCGGCAAGCGCGAACACTAGCTTGGCGTTCCCTTCCTTGTAGCACGAACTGACTCGAAACCCCCGTACAAGGAGACTCATGTCTGCCATGTTGGTGACCTGCTCTATCTTCGTCTTCTGCACGTCCCACAGCGCCTTGTTGCGGGCTCATAATCTCTCGCCCGCCTTTGTGAGCACGTCGCAGGCCACGAGGAACACTTGAAGGTGCGCAGGCCCCATCTCCGCCTCTGGCAGCGGCTTGGCATTGACGAGCTTCCACGCTTCTCGCATCGCTGCCGCTCGAGTCGCATAGGCCCGACCCGCCTTGAACGACTCCTTCACTAGGTCCGAACCCTCGTCGAGAACCACCGTCTGGAAGGCCGCCGCGAGCATCTGCCTGATCATGAACGTGTTGCCCAACACTGCTTTGACCAAGATTGGCATGATCTTCGCGATCACCCCCTGCGACATCGCGGGCAGCTTCTCCAGTGTGTCCTCTGGCAGGCCGTACGCTTTGCCAACGGCCATCTTGGCGTCGGCGGCTCCCTGCTCGCGGTGGCCAGCTGCAGCCCCGCTTGCCTGGCCCTGACGTTGGGGGGGGGCTTGCTGCACCGCTGTGCCCGACGACCTCCTCCTTGCCGTGCGCCACGATTGCGGGAGGCAGCCTCAGACCCAGAGCGGCCTCGTGGAGACTTCCCTCCACCTCCTCGCCCTGCGGAGCGGCTCCTCTCCGCTGCCGCGAGGTCCTCCTGCTTCAGCCTGTACATCTGGAAAGTAATGTGGGTGACGGAGGCGACCGCAGGGGCAATTGATCCGAAGGTGTTCGTACAGCAGATCACGGTTGGCGAAGGTCTCTGTGCTTGAGCAGACAAAGGCAGTGTCATGGCCGCTTCTCAGAGCAGCACGTGTAATAGACGAAAACGGGCACACCAGTTCCTCAGGCTCGACGACCTCATGCGCGTACGGTGTGGCACGTGGCGGACAACGGTTGTGCAAGACAGCTTTGACAGTATGCTCCTGTGCGATGCGCCTCGTGCGAAAGCTCTGCCGACAGAACACGCACTCGTTCGTGACGGTCATATTGTGCACGATGGAACGGCAATTGTGACCACCCAACTTCGCAAAACGCTGGTGTGCCAGGAGTGCTCGGCGAGTGGCAAACACACGTTCGCAAGGTGCCCCCGTCGAGTCGGTCAGCTCGCACACCCAAGACGACGCTGGAGGATCGGGAACCTCAGAAGTCGCGGCCCAACCAGACGACGTGGGCCCCAAAGGGCCATACAGTCCAGGAGGTGGTGCAATAGTCACCGTACGAGCCGCAGCCCGTAGGACCCCAGGGTCAAGCCGAAGAAAACGTTCCCGAAGTTCGTGATCCATGAACAGCGCTTTGACCCTGAACCTGAACCTCTCGTCCCCCGAGGTGCCCACGACGAGGTCCCGCAAGAGCCCCTCCTCCTCCTCCGACCTCTTCAACAGCTTCACGACGTCGGCGACGAACCTAAGAGCATACACGTTCGCCTCCGAGGACAGACAGCCGTTGGGGAGAATGGTGGGACCAGGATCCACAGGGAGCTGGCCGAAAACTGAACCAACCTCCTGAGCATGAGTACTAGGAGATATCAGCCACCGTCGGTACATACGCAGCCTGCGGACCATGAGCTCGACCCTTGCTGGGGCCACCCCCACTCTCCTGAGAACCGTTTCGTCAGAGTCGGCCTTGTACTTGATAATCGGTTTATCGTCCTCGTCCCTTAAAGGGTCCCCGTTCTCGTCAATCATCTCCTGCTTTTTGCACGCGTCGCCCCCCAGAGTCTTACGAGCGAAGCCAACCAGCACACGGTCCAAGCGACGTTCTTGGGCAGGCGTAAGTACTAGCACCGTGAGGCCAGACAACAGAGTTCCCTGAACGACAGCCCCGAATACAGTCCTGGTAAAGCGCCAGACCTTATTTTTCTGCCAGAAGCGCTCCAATGAGAAGTAGCCCCGACGACAAGCGAGTATTCTACGACGAAGTTCTCCCTGGACTCCCCCGTTCACCGATGTCTGGATCCCAAGAGCGATGTTGTCGAATTGTACCCTTCCTTCGAGCGGGAGGCGACCACTGAATATATCGGAGGCGTGTTTGTGGGACCCAGGGCCGACGAAGGATGGAGACACGGTGCTTTTCCCTGCATTGTGAGCGTAACCGCTGCAATCCAGCTCCTCACGCAGAACACGGTGTGCACGGGATAAAGTATACTGTGCATTGCGAGCGGAAGAAACCACGCGCGTACGCGAAGTGTCGTCGGCGTATATGCGGCACGATAGGTCTACCGGCCTCTGCAAGAATGGTGTCCACGCCGTGCATATGGCCTCGCTGGGCCAGATAACCCGATCAGGGTCAGCAGGTGGTTGTTGTGGGACGAGCTGCTGCGAACACCACTCTTCGTGAGACTCAGGCCGAGGAGGGGCAGGAACGACACCCCAGGTCTCTTGGCGAAGACGATCCAGCCAACGCTGGATGGGTCGTCGGAATGTCCTCGCAAAAAAGATCGCCGCCAGAGTGTCGCCCATGAAGGCCCCCACCTGATTGTGCAACGTCAACTCACCATCAGCGGCCTGAATCGTGAACGTCGATGTCTCGTGGCGCTGATGGAAAAAAGACTGATCCTGTGGCAGCATAGTTTCACCTACCGTCTCTCTGAGCTCACTGAACGGCGTACACCCGAAAGCGTTGGACATGTCCTCTTTCGAGGTAATGGTAGAGATTCCCAAAGACCTCATCCTACTCAGCAACGCCTCCTGGCAGATCAGAGCACCCTCTCGGTTCCGACCAGGTAATTTCCCGTGCTCACGGTCAGGCACGACATCCGCAGCACCACGACGAAGAAGAGCCTTGTACCACATCACTCCCATCCGACACAGCCCATGAATATACCTCCTCGCACTGAAGCCCTCCTTGCCGTTGGCCTTCGAGAGGCCTGTAGCCTGCGAATGATGCCACACAACAGGCGTGCGGCCCACACGGCGGATATGATGGCA